CTACTAACGTCAAGTTAACGTCTCCTCTTTGCTGCTAAGACTAATTTGGACGGGGCCTACTTTGTTTAGGCCGAAACCAAACCTCGGTTTTCGGACATATCATCGTAAAGGCCTACCGATTTGGCGAGTGTCTAAATCGACTCTTATTCATGAGAGTGTGTCAGTACATTACTCACTGTACCAATAGATTTTACACTTTTGCCATGGAGAAACAGTTTTCAGACGATTACACTGAAAAAAATATTGTTCATAATATTAATGAACGCATTGATTATTAACTGTTGTTTCATTGGAACAATGATTTTTTTCATTATATTAATGATTTGTTAATCATAGATCGATGACTGATTTATTAATAGTATGTAGTATGAATCTAATTTCATCAATATAATGAAAATCGGGTTATTAAATTAATGTAAGAGTTTCATTAATATAAAGAACGCGTTCATTGTCCCAATGAATGCATTCTTTATTTTAATGCTGAAACTTTAATGAACACATACTCGTATTCATTATATTAATGTACTAAATCATTGATTAATGAGTTGTACATTGTGACAATGAACAATATATGTTATTAATACAATGAACAGGAACACACTACATTATATTAATGTATATGGTTATTAATATCAGGAATAAAATATTAGAACTTAAATGGTGGCCATCTTGATCGGTAACTTTGGCACTTTAATACCTAACGTCTGTCTGTATGGTTGTGTTATTCAGTGAGGCTTTAGTTTCATTAGAAGTGTCCTCTTCAATATTTTAAATATTTAAATAAAAGTCCTATCGTATTGTAGTTAATTTGTTGTATTGTCAAATCAAATTCCGCTGTGTGAGATCTCTGGTGCGGGTATTTATTAAAACAGCGGTTTCCAAATATGTTTCAGAAGATACAAACAAAAAGAAGAAAAACATAGTAACAAGTCGAGGCATGAAACTGATTATGGTAAATTCCAATGTTCTTTTAATATTTGGCATTTTAATTATTATGATATACGTCGCTTTTAGAACCTAAACAAGATGCTAAGACCCGACTTCAAGCCCTCAAATTCGACAATTTAACATCGGACCCACTTGATGCGACTTGGAAGGCCTGTTGCAAATTTGTCTAGACGTTATCAAGTCTAACGATCCAGCTAATATAATGAAAAAATGGTCTTTTTATAGAAATCCCTCAGGATATCGACTGCTAAATTAATTTTCTTTCGTCGATTAGATTTTTTAATTTTTAACTTGTATATGCTATATCAAGTTTGAATAAATTACTATTAGTTTATTGCACTTGTTTTTTATTGCCCTAATGGAAAAATTTACTGTGCTCGTAAGTAAGTCGGCACTATTGGTAATTTTGTTACCTTTGTAGCTAAGGACTTGTTCAAATGGAAATCTATTTATAGTAGAATTATTTTAGGTAGTTGGCTGGGAAATGACTATCAATGACATTTCATATCAATGACAGAGATCTTCATCATCGATTATACGGTATAACAAGAGTTACTAATAGTGTCGACTTTTAAATGTATAACTAAACAGGTTATGAAATTATTTCATTGTATTAATGATACGGTTCATTAATATAAGGATTTGGGTACATTATATTAATGAAATCTGTTCATGGTACCAATGAATGTGTTCTTAAAATTAATGAACACTGTTCATTGATTTAATGAACTTAAAGTTCATAGAGTTAATGAATTACTTTTCATTGTTACGTTCATCGGCTCAAAATTAATGATTTAATTCATTATATTAATGAACTTTTTCATTATATTTATGTCGAGTTTTGGTTCAGTGTACCCGTCCATCTATTCGCATCGTTTAACGTCGCTTAACTTCAGTGATCTATCATAAACCGGTGTTTCGATGTAGCTGGGCCGTTGCCCCAGACATGAAATACGTTTAGCTGTAGCAGTAAGGGTAGACCGTCATTCTATCATAATGTTAGCGGCTAAATATACGTATCTATGCGAAAGATCTAAGGGCGTTCTCGATACAACTGCATTTAAACATTTTAAATAGTTTTTTTTGTATTTTTTGCCTTTGACGACGGGATTCGATATACAGCCAGAGACTTTAAGTGTTTTGTTTTCGTTAGGCGAATTAGTCTACAAGTAAAGGTCAGTTTAGAAGCTGGTTTGCGTTGGATTTTAACCTAGTTGTATTTTAGAAGAATACTTATTTCAGGGTCATCAATAATACCTAAGGTTTCCATACAAGTTTTTGGAAATTGGCTCTGAAATCTGGACAAAATTGTAATAAGAGAATAGTTGACAGTGCGAGTTGTCGTCTGTCATTTTAATTCACAGGTAAATTGTATTTTCTGTCATTGTTTGTCATATGTCTTCTGACGACATTTCTTCCTGGCTCGTTAGACAGACGGGCATACTTTACATTAAAGGGGAAACTAAAAGCAGTTGATAACGTGTTAAGTATCAGAAGTGGATTATCTTTTTTAATCTTCCTCTAGGAGATGCTAGACCAGTGGTGGGAAAAATCTAAGTCAGGTGCTAGTGCTAATCCCCTTTTACACTTTGGATGGGTCTAAGAAACATCACATGCAGGCTGCGACTACCTCGTTCATCATACCAAGCACCCTCCACTGTCTGTGGTAATGGTGTATCGAGGGCCCGCCCCCACGCCCTCGATACACCATTTGTCATACACATACACCACCGAGTCTTGAATAACCGCCCGGACCAAGAGGAGACAACTTTACCAAAAACCTAATTCCTAAAATGGCGAGACCAGGTCAAAAGGATGCGTGGCTAGATAGAGGACTAACATCGACTAGCTCAACCTTGAGGCACCAGTCTGTACCCCATTGTATTCTTGTCTCTCTTACTTCTATAGGCGGAGCTATGTAGAAGTGGACAAACTAATCCTTGCGGTGAAGCTGGACGGAAACCCCCTAACAACATTGAGAATATTAATAGAACAAATTCTAAGGGACCAACCCCAAAGGGAACTACAGGAAAGACAGCTGACACTTGGGCGAGATCAGCCTCTATAAGTGGCACACAAGCTATCGCCTCCTTTAGCAATGGTCGGGAGCCTACTTCTAGACCCAAAAGGCTACACAAGTTATCGTTTCCTCTACTGGGCCTAGATTGCCCTTGAGTAGAGCAGAGTAGAGTAGACTTGAGTAGAGAGAGTATATCTCAGCGGAGCAGCAGTGCGAATGATATGCTCTAGAGGAAGCAAAAGCGACAACACTCCTCGAAAAAGGGGAGAGTAAAGGGATCAAGAGACAGCCTTGGGCATCTCCATCAATAATCAAGAGAGAAATCAAGAGCCTCTCACCTCGGCCCCGGCAAGGAGAGAAGAAGAGGAAAAGAAAAAAAAGAGGGAAAGAGCAAAAAAGGATGGACGTATCACTCACTTTGCCAGAACTGAAGGATATCGAGTTGGCGAGTCATCATCTCAAGGGAGAACAGCCATAGTCAGGCTCTCACAATAGAAATTGACCTCAAATATATAGATTCGGGACAACACCGGTATCGGGTCTAAGGAATGACCAAGTTCAGGAGGTGGAGTACATGGAGACAGATCCTCTACCCTCCACCTCACGGGTACCTCAGCCAGAGACAATCTCCTCGACTGTGAAAGGCACGGAGGGCCAAACCCAAATCATGGAAGGGCGTACTACCAATTTGTAGGAGGTAGATGTCCACACCTCTGAGGAAGAACATTGGTTGTCAGAGGAGGATGGAAAATACCCTGTCACCCCTATAACAGGAAAATCCCCATGTATGATGAGTTATAATTCAACACATTAGATCTTTAAGGTCGCGGTGATTAATCCCCCACCCACTCATCCTACATTCTACATCAATTTTTCACGCTTCAATTCAATGCGTAATCATCTGGAGATTGTCCTCGAATAGGCAGTCCAACCAGAGACACTAATTGATGCGATGCTTTCTTCGAAGGCATCCTGGAAGGCGAACAATACTTTCGCAACAACGAAAGTGCTCCAACACCTGCGTTCTACAGAGAGAAAACGAGCCAGCAACAAGAACGGTTAGAGGAAGAGAAGCATTGACTTCAATTAATGGAAGGAAGAGCAATAGCTAGATCTTCTTTCTGCGAAGTAATGCATAAACGGCGGTTTCCGTGGGGAGTGCAGAGGCCGGAGAAAGAGGAAGTTTTTAGTCGGTATTAAAACCTGAGTCCGACATACCAGGCCAAACATCTAGCTCTGAGATACGCAAATGTATTTTCCTTTTGTGTTAAAAAATTGCATATCATTTTTTAATTGAAAAGGAAACTTTGAGAATTTCATTAGTTACTACACACTTTTTTTTACTTCATTACTACACACAGTGATTTTTTTTGTTTGTTCGTTGGGCATATAACTAGTTTGAGCTAAAGTCTGTCCAATGCTATGGTCCAATGAGTCAGACAATCGACAGATGACATTCTAAAATGAAAGAAAATACAATTTGATTTTGAATTAAAATGACAGGCACAACTGATACTGTCGTGGATCGTTGGGTACTTATATTCATAACGCGCACGTAATCATACAAAATAAAGAAAACAACTCACAATTCACATCTACAAGTGCACCGAAAGGAAAAAAAATTGGTCATATAGATATGAGTACTTTCGAACATTGTCGCTTTTATTGATATGTGACATCGTAACTATAAAAAATAGTCCATCCAGTTGGCTTGGAAATGGTAATCGGTGATATTCCCCATATAATTGAATATACAAAATCGATCTTCATTTTCAAACTATATCTTATGCCGTTTTTTCATTCCTATTATATTTACAAGAAATATATTAACGTATTAATACTAGATACAATAATTATATTAAAGAATACTATCACCTATTGATTCTGTTCTTACTTTTGTAGCAAAATAAAAAAAAATAGTAAAAAAACGGGAAACTGTACTCTTATTTTTGAATTTATGTTTAATTTTCAGTTGCTGTGATCATATTTTTGGAAATACGGAATACACAAATTTCACATACAAGGGGGTCGGCAGCCGATGGTCCATGTGGGGTGCAAGTTGATGTAAATGGAGGATGGGGAAAGTAAGAATTGTGGGTATGTATAGGTAGTTCAAAATTGAAAAGGATTGGTAATATATTTTTTTTGACATATGTGTACTTTGTTTTACGACTCAGGTGAGATTTTGACAGACGATGACAGAAAAAAGGCGGATGACGTCCATACCAAAGATACCAATCCTTTTATTTCACTAAAAAAAATAATATTTTTCAAGTTAACTATATAAATCCGTCATGTTTATTTTCAACAAATCAGTGCGGGTGCCAAATATCACAAGCATTGTCATACTCAAATTTATAAGTCATGTTCTTTTGTAGTAGGTAATTTTAAACTTTTATCATTGATTTTCAACTTCTCATTGATATTTGTTACTTGTAAAGTTATTATGCAATTTTCTTTTGTTTACGGGACTTTCCGGAAATCCCAAAAAGGCGGAAAAAACCACTCACGAATAGTTGTTTTTAGAGGCGGATTCAAGAATTTATTTTAGGGGGAGCCCAAATAAAAAGTGATATAGAATATGCTTTTTAGAGCGCCATTTTTAACCCAAAAGCCTAATATTTAACTCAATTTATAGATTTTAGGGGGGACCTTGGTCCCACGGCCCCCCTCTGTATCCGCCACTGGTTGTTTTTTATTATAAATGTGATTAAACCCTAGATCATATATACTTACGTGGATAAATCAACGCCATAAGTTTAGCATTAAAAAATATGTCTCCAACATCACGACATTCCATTTTCGAACCTTCTTTATTGCAGTTATGAAACATTCCATAGGTTTGTCTTTCTCGAGGACCTTACTTTGCGCATGCGCATTAAAAGTGGCACGTATTTCCAAAATAATTACAATTTTATCCGGTTTAGAAAGTACAAATTATACATTGTTATGGAAACCAACTTTTCATTGTCATCGTATTGTCATAATCTTGTCATAATCATATGTCATAATGTTATTTCCATTGTGTAACGATGCTTGTTTTTTGCGTTTTTTATTTTAAACATTGTTTAATACTCTTTTATCGACCGCTTTTATATAGCCAAGGATGCAAGTGTGTTCAGTGAGAAGTTAATTTTAAGTTTGTGCAATTATATTTCTATTTTTTACTCGTTGGGTTTTAATTTTTGGGTAAATACTCGTAAAAATGACAAGAAAGTTTTTGGTGTGTTGAAATTATAATATAACTGTCCCCGAATTATCTTTTCACAGGCAAGTAAAGTATTCAGTTGTTCTTTTATGTATATTAAACCACATGCATACTTTCTGGTTAGATTTTCTAAGAATATTGATATTCGTACATAGTGGCTAACTTATATTTTATTTAATTTAATTTTTGTGACAGTAACATTCAATTATTGTTCAAATATATGCATTTTACAAATTAAATTTTAAAAATTAATGTTCAAATTTGACGCGTGGACGATAGGTCCCCGACAAGGATAGATAGAGTAGAAGCACCGCGTGTACAACAAAAAAAGAAGATAAATGGAAGTCGTTGATATGTTTGGGACAGTTTCCATAGTAATTTACTTATCCACGTAAGTATATATGATCTAGGGATTAAACAAATACTTCAAACTTTCTGAGTTGCTTAAAGAGACTGTTAATAACTGTTAAAAAATCTTGACTATTATTAGTGAAAATATGAATAAGTTTGTAAAAATCTGAAAATTTTTCGGTCAAGGAATGTTTGCCCGGTTTTTTATTATTATAAAATATAACAAAATTGCGATCATAATTCAAACAAGTTTCAAAATGTGAAAGCCGTTTATTTTATTTTTTAAATAAACTTTGAATCATCAAAAAATATTAAATTTTAGCCGAGTTATTAAACAATTTCTCCTGTCAATCATACAATAAAAAATCTATATTCGAAGTGTTAAGACAGGGAGAAAATTTAGGGATCTTCGAGATAGAATTTTGAAATATAGAAGAACCATTTTTGTATGTATAGTACAATTCTTTTAAAAGTTCCTCAATATGGCCGACCTAGTTACGAAAATTGGTAATTTTTTTTTAATGAAAAATAACTTGGCGTTAGCGAATTCAGAAATTGATTTACTCTTTGGTTATCAATAACATTTTTCAGGATTGTCAAGTTGACGTTAAAGTTAGGTTATTAGGTGGTTGTCATAAATCATAAATAAAAACATAGATTATTATTGAAATTATTTAATAAGAATAAAGATATTTTACCGCAAATCCGAAGAGATTTTTCTGAAAGGTATTTTATAAAGTTTCTCAGTGAGAATATTAACTTCCTTGTGTGTTTCTTATATTTTAGTTAAAGGGACCGGACGTAAGAACTATAGGAAGTGAATTTTTGCTTTCATGTTTTGACGATATCTGAGAATTCCTAGAATTATCAAGATTATTGAATAATTATTTGTTTATTAAGTGAAATTAATAGAAGACTTGGAAATAGGATGATGCGTTTCATGTTATAGTTGATAGATCACCCCATTTCTCTTAATTTGTTAAACCTTCTTTATATTTTAAAACTGATTTACAACAATCTGTAATGCCCGCGCTGTTTCCTGAAATATAAGTTTTAATCAATTTATTATCATATACATATTACAAACCTGAAAATTACTGATACGAAGAAACTTCTCAAAATAATTAGAGACCTTTTTACAAACATCTGGACTAATTTATTTTCACGAATTTGTGGACGAGTCAATGCTTTCTAATACGTCTTTAGGCGTTTTACACATTTTGAATATCTTCCAGCCTATTGTTCAGTTCTTGATCGGTGAAAAGATTATTTATAACTATATAATTAGTACTGCAGGCTGCAGGTTAGGTTAGGTTAGGTTAGGTTGCTGGGGTTTGGGATCATATTTGATCCCTCACTCGGAGGCCTTGGGCCCATTGCGATACCCCTGTATTGTTTTACCAAACCTTCCTCTCATTCTTTCTTTGCGTTAAAGCACTTCCAGCTCTTTG